CACACACACACACACACACACACACACACACACACACACACAATTTGTGGTTTTATTTGCTCATCACGCACACTTAGACATGCAACAGGGCAAAGCATTATTTTCATCTCACAAGGTCTGCAGTCATGAAGTTAGGTCTGCAGTTTGTACAAAGGATCTGTTGTGTTCCCTTAAATCTATGAGAACCAACTAAACGTTGCCTCATGTCTTTTTCTCAGATTATCTTTGTGTTCAGTGTTTTGTCTATTTAACTATTGTCATGTGTAGCCAAACAGGGAAATAATTCATTACTGGTCTGTTCAGTGTGTTATTTTGACACCTTCCTAAAATAAGTGGGGCATGGGGAATATTCTGGTTTAAAAAGCAGAAAAGATTGCGGAAGCAGCTAAATGTGTCACTAGAGGTGAAAGGGATCATGGGAACTAGACACCATGTAATGAAACATTTCTGATATAGTTAACGGTGATATCAGAGTTAAATTATTTTGAATGTCTTTTCTCATAATGTCACAGTTAGGTTTATATTTGTCATTTTTGTAAAAAATAAATAATAGAGAATTCTTCTTAAGAGTTACACATTTACCGCCTTTTTATAATTGGAAACTGTTTAGATGGGAAAAAAAGGCCAAATCTTTATTCTACATACTCATATTGTTAAAGAGATGAAATATGAACATATTTATTTGCTGTTTATTCAGTAGAACAGCTCTTGACTACGTAATTTTTACATTTTAACAAGACATTGGCATGAAAGGGTTTGTAATGAGATTTCTCAGCCTGAATAATAGCCTGGCCCTTGCCTTCCTACGCAGCGCTGCTCAATTCTAGTTTCTCTTCACTGCTCCATCTGGGACTTCTCCCATTGACAAGGATTTCGCTGGCAGATTTTTAGCCGGGCCAATCAGAGAACAGAACGTCAATTTTCTGTGCAGTGTCTGTTTGTAGTTTATTTTACCTGGGCCAATCAGAGAACAGAAGGACGAATTTTGAACGACGTTGATTTTTTACACAGTGTCTGCTAGTTATTTTAGCATACGGCAGTGGAGGAAGTGAATGAAGCCAGTCTGTGTTGATAAGGCTTCCAAATTAAAATAAATTTGTCTGACAAAGCAGCAGCTCTCATTTACAGTCGTCACGTTTGGCTCGGTATATTTCTCCTCTCAGTAGGGTTGTTTACAGCACACGTGATTACGGTTAGCTTCTTAGCTTAGCCTCCGTCACAGCGACACACGTCGCAGCCAACTGATCCAATCATTTTAAACTTCAGCAGAGGCCACGCCTCCTGCAAGAAACACTTCTCCATGCATCAAGTCTAGACCCTTGTACGAAGCAAAGTGAAGGACAGGGTCTGGTTTAAACCAGGCTACCTGAATAAGGAAGTGAAGTAGACAATAATGATGTAGAATCTGCTGATCTTTGTCGTTATGTTGATATGAATAGACCTAATTTCACTAATACGTCCTAGTATTTATGGCCTGAGGGGGACACACACTGATGCTTTGATTAGGCTGTTTTGCACCCAGCTAGAATAAAAAAATAAAATCTGATTGCAACTTTCTGTCTCGAGCCCTGTTGGTGCATAAGAACACCAGGAAAAGATGCACTAATTAGGAGAAAAAAAACAATTTAATGATTCAATGGACATGGATTTACTGAAACACAAACTTTGCATTTGAAATTAGTAACACAACACAAATGAGTTGTCATTTAGACTGAGCTGTAAAGTTGTCAGCGTTAAAAGACGAGGTGATGCAACCTGGTGCCCCTGCTTCAAGGGTTTGAAGTTAAATATGGTTTTAAAATGATTTGCAATGATCTAATGGTCTGTTTGCAACATATTTGTCTTCTAAATGCAGAACAAGTGTCAGTAATGTTATGGGGTGTCCCATGAAAGCGCCTTGAATGTTGGTTTTCATTGTAGCCTTGCTACATGTTTGCGCTCTCTGATCAACGTGAAAATACTGACATTTCAGGCCTGCTAGAAGGATCCGATGTCACCAACTCAACATCTGATTGGTCAAATAATAGTATCATTACCATTTGTTCTAACCTCCAGATGCCTTCACTGTTTGTTCTGAAAACGTTGAGGCAGATTCTTTCACCCCAGCAACAGATGATGCTCGAAATATGATTGGATAAAAGCTCTTTATAAACACATGCTACTGGAAGCTGCACAACGGGGAGAAAAGCTGTGAAAAGAAGTGAACAGACATTTCAAAATAATAAAATATAATCTAGTGATTCTGATTGTGTTTAGACCAACAGAGAAGTCTTTGCTGATCCTGACGGTCCACCTCTGGTCCATACCATTTAGCATCACCACTGTGTGTTTTGACCCACCAAACCAGCTTTATACAAGAGTTCACTTCAATAAGAGAATACTTTAAATGAGCTGACTTGAATCACCTGAGTACAGCGGTGTTAGACTTTCTCTGAATTGTTTTTTTTCCTGCAGCCACGCTACACTGTGTAATGATAACAGTTGGTGGCAAGAACCTGTGTAGGTGTTTAAGCACATGCATGTATGAAAATGTGCAGATTTGTGAATTACGCACTCAGAACATATTAATGCTGACGGGACAGTCATGCTGTGTGAGTGGGGCTCAGCAGACAGCTCTGTTACGTCTCCAGCTATGATGAGCTAATTATAAAAACATCTCCAAGTGGCGCAGCCTTGTGAAGCAGCATATTTAACATGAAGAGTCTTATTTAAAACTGTGCATTGACTTTGAAAGCTGCAGCAAAGCCATGTTCTCAGTCAAACTTGTTATTCTTGGTCTTGTAGGGTTCATTTCCCACGCATGTTGTGGCACTCTTACACCATTCGGCTCCGCCGTGTTGCTTTGGCTTTAAGGGTTTGGTCAGGTCCTGTCTGTCACTGCTGCACAAATGTGTTTGTTTTGGCACCAGGACCGTGGCTGTAATCAACTCTGGCCTTTATTTGTGGTCAGGCACAGCATTATGAACATCAGAGACAGCGGGGGGAGCCCCACTAGTTAAAGATACTCCGTCTCAGTCGCAAGCAAAGAGCCCAGATTGACCCCCGGTATCTTGGCCAGCCTTCACTCTGCTGAAGTACTGCAGGTTTGAGCAATACGCCAAACCACTTCCAGCTTCGGTTTCACTGCTCTGCAGCTGACCCTGAACTCTGACCCCCTTGGGGATGGATGTGATGGAATGTGAAACAGTCAGTTTCCCACAGTTTGCATTGTTTGGTCTTGTGATTGAAATGATCACAGCTTGTGAAAGTTGGAGCTAGTGCGTGTAAAAGATAATGACCTAACACTTGGACCCACAGTACCTACTGCTCAGTTCTGAGTGTGGGGAAAGAGGCTCGGTTCGTGTTGGTCCACCACTTTGGTCCGGACCCAAGAACTTGATCAGCTACTGATTGAACTCGTATGAGTTTTAAAGATGAAAAGTGTTGGTCTGTTAGCAAAATATTCCATGAACCGCAGAATGAATCTTAATGAAAGTTTCAAAAAGTAGTCAAGTTTAAAGATGGCTGCCACAGTCTTGTATGTCTGAAGAGACATAAAATACTAATTTTAGAATTTAAAGACACATTCAACCTTGATAATTTCCTGACATGAACTTTCTGGAGTGATTTGCAGGGTTCCTACCAGTCATGGAAAACCTGGAATATCAAGCAATTTTTATTTTTCATTTTCAAGGCCTGGAAAGTCATAAAATTTCATTTCAGGTCATGAAAAGTCATGGAATTTTCAAATAAATTAAAAAACGTAACAACAACTTGTTCATTGTGAGGTGGTCTTTAAAAAAAAAACAACTGGAGCTAGACACTAGATACCAGTTGAAGACTAGTGGTGTTGCTGTGTGTGTGCCTGTCTGTTCTGAATGTTTGTAGAAGCAGTTAGTTCTACATACATGTACAGTCTTGTGTTTGTATCACTGCTAATATGTTTTTGTTTCTTTCTTTCTTTCATTTGGATCCCCATTAGTTGCAATTCCTGCAACTAATGGGGATCTGATCAACGGGGTCCACA